TCTACAGTCTAGTCTATAGTCTAGTCTATAGTCTAGTCTATATTCTAGTCTATAGTCTAGTCTATTGTCTAGTCTATAGTCTAGTCTATAGTCCAGTCTATAGTCTGGTCTATAGTCTAGTCTATAGTCTAGTCTATAGTCTAGTCTATAGTCTGGTCTATAGTCTAGTCTATAGTCTAGTCTATAGTCTAGTCTATAGTCTAGTCTATAGTCTAGTCTATAGTCTAGTCTATAGTCTAGTCTACAGTCTAGTCTATAGTCTAGTCTATAGTCCAGTCTAGAGTCTAGTCTATAGTCTAGTCTATAGTCTAGTCTATATGTAGTCTAGTCTATAGTCTAGTCTATAGTGTAGTCTATAGTCTAGTCTATAGTCTAGTCTATAGTCTAGTCTATAGTCTAGTCTATAGTCTAGTCTATAGTCTAGTCTATAGTCTAGTCTATAGTCTAGTCTATAGTCTAGTCTATAGTCTAGTCTATAGTCTAGTCTATAGTCTAGTCCATAGTCTAGTCTATAGTCTAGTCTATAGTCTAGTCTATAGTCTAGTCTATAGTCTAGTCTATAGTCTAGTCTATACTCTAGTCTATAGTCTAGTCTATAGTCTAGTCTATAGTCTAGCCTATAGTCTAGTCAATAGTCTAGTCTATAGTCTAGTCTATAGTCTAGTCTAGTCTAGTCTTTAGTCTACTCTATAGTCTAGTTAATAGTCTAGTTTATAGTCTAGTCTATAGTTTAGTCTATAGTCTAGTCTATACTCTAGTCTATAGTCTAGTCTATAGTCTAGTCTATAGTCTAGTCTATAGTCTAGTCTATAGTCTAGTGTATAGTCTAGTCTATAGTCTAGTCTATAGTCTAGTCTATAGTCTAGTCTATAGTCTAGTCTAGTCTATAGTCTATAGTCTAGTCTATAGTCTAGTCTATAGTCTAGTCTATAGTCTAGTCTATAGTCTAGTCTATAGTCTAGTCCATATACCGGCGGATAGAGAGGCAGATAAAAAAATCACCACTACACACACACCATTGGCATTTTTTCAATCAAATTGCACTGAAAAAAATATTTGGTTATTTTTAATTTTGAATATTAAATTGCATTACTGTAAAATGCGAATATTTATAAACAAAATGTAATCAATGTACTTAAGAATGATAATTTCTTCACATAGAAACAACATTTCTAATTAAAATGTACAAAAAAAGTATGAAACAAGATGAACTTATTTACTTTCATTGTTATGCATTCTAGAAAATTATTTAGGGTGTACGTTGTTTTTGTAAATTATGCTCTTGCTTTTGCAAGTTGTTTTTGTTTTTTCAAGTTGTGTTTGCAATTTCTTTAACAAAGCGACATCAACCTACTTTGTTGAATGCTGTCAAGCAACTAAATAAAATATTTGTATTTTTGATGCTCTTGTTTAGCGGTTCGTATGCGATCGTGTTGTGTACATGTAATTTGCCGAAAATCTTCGTTGTCAGAACAATACTAGCGCCGACGTCTGGTCTAGTCTATAGTCTAGTCTATAGTCTAGTCTATAGTCTAGTCTAGTCTATAGTCTATAGTCTAGTCTAGTCTAGTCTATAGTCTAGTCTATAGTCTAGTCTAGTCTATAGTCTAGTCTATAGTCTAGTCTATTGTCTAGTCTATAGTCTAGTCTATAGTCCAGTCTATAGTCTAGTCTATAGTCTAGTCTATAGTCTAGTCTGTAGTTTATTCTATAGTCTAGTCTATATACTAGTCTATAGTCTAGTCTATAGTCTAGTCTATAGTCTAGGTTATAGTCTAGTCTATAGTCTAGTCTATACTCTAGTCTATTGTCTAGTCTATAGTCTAGTCCAGGGGTCGGCAAACCATGGCTCGCGAGCCAAATGCGGCTCTTTGGATGTGGAGCTGTGGCTCTTTAGTTTCATACACAAATTTTATTTATTTTATAAAAAAATATTTGTATGCATATTTTAAAATCTTTCCGAATCGATTAACGAGCAATGTATTAAAGCTAACAAAACACTTCGCAAACGTTTCTACAATATACAAAACTTTTTAACTTTGCTTAATCGTTCTGTACATGAACAAAACAAAAACAAATACTTTTTGAGTGAGAAAGAAAGAACATAATTAGCTTTTCACTCATTTCCTTGCTTTTATTTGCCCCTAAAATTGTACATTTGAGATTAAATCCTCATTGAGCCATTTGAAATTGGTATTGGATCTCTAGAAATGCAGTTGATCAATTTAAAAAGTAAAACTTTGTGTTGTGGAAAATTGTCAATGTTTAAAAGCAAGTTGGAAGATTTAGGTAAAAAGCCAACTAACAAATGAATGATCCAAGCTTTCTAAAGCCATACAAACCTATCACTCCCATTGAATTTGTTCCATGTACAAGTTAATATTGTAAGAAAATGTTTAATTCTTTAAAGTGTTAATTGAAAAGTTCCCTATAAACGAATGGGGTATCATATCAGTGATCCTACGAGGTGCCATTAGATAAGATGTAAATCATGATCATACATTCCGAAATTTTCGTGTTTTTCGAATTAAAACATATATTTTGGAAATTTAAAATATAGTAATTAATTAATAATGTGGAGAATTTTGATACAGTTAAATACTAAAAACTTAGTCTATCTCAAAACTTTAAACTTTAATCTTTTTTTTTATAAAAAGGTGCAAAAAATTATAAATTTTTATATATTGCACGTTTTAATGACAGTGATCTATGAAAGATTGATATATTTTTGACATAAAATTTTTGCCTATAAATAAGGGACCAGAAAGCGTATTAAGGACCCATCCTTACAAAATTTGGTAATGAAGTTTTGTATCCTATTAAACTTGTTTGTGTTGATTTTCATCACTATACTTGTATTTTAGCCTGTTGTATGTCGGAACTTTCGAAAGTGGACTCCATATGGGGGGAAGGGTCAATTTTGAATCCATCCTTATTTAATTTGGTACAGATATTTTTTGATCTTATAAAACCTGTTTGTGTCGAATTTCGTCGCTTACTGCTATTATTAAGTCACTTAAGAGTGATAGGGTCATTTTCTAATGTGGATCTAATATGGGGGGTAGGATCAATTATGAGCCGATCGTCACCAAATTTGGTAAAGTGATTATTGTTCCTGTTTGTGTTGAATTTCGTCATAAAATTGCCATTATTAAGCCAGTTATGAGTGTTAAAATCAAATTTGGAAGATAGATTTTTGTTCTTATACAACTTGTTTACGTCGAATTTCGTCTCTATACTGCTACTGTTAAGTCAATTATGATCGTTAGAGTAATTTTCTGAATGGAACATTATATTTGGGTTGGTCAATTATGGTTCAATGTCCGCAATACATCACAGTATAATTTCTGTTTGTATAAAAAACTTGTGCAAAATTTTATCTCGATTGCTGCCTAATTAATATACATAACTGTGACTCTTTATATTGAATTATGACAAATGCATTTTAAATTATATCACTGTCGCTCCACTTTAATAAACTGTTATATATTTATATAACAAGTGTTAAAAAACGCATTCGAATGACCCATAAAAATTCTAAAAGTGTTTGTAGTCAAAAATCTATAAGAAAGATTCCTTGCAGAATCGTCTTGTAGATAATTAAACAAAAAATATGTTTTTGAAGTGAATTCATAAAGTATTTGTAATATTTTAATAAACAAACATTTTGTGGCTCTTTTAAAACCCATGTTTTGTAAACTGTAAATTTTGGCTCTTCAGACTCAAAAGTTTGCCGACCCCTGGTCTAGTCTATAGTCCAGTCTATAGTCTAGTCTATAGTCTAGTCTATAGTCTAGTCTATAGTCTAGTCTATAGTCTAGTCTGTATTCTAGTCTATAGTCTAGTCTATAGTCTAGTCTATAGTCAACTCTATAGTCTAGTCTATAGTCTAGTCTATAGTCTAATCTATAGTCTAGTCTATAGTCTAGTCTATAGTGTAGTCTATAGTCTAGTCTATAGTCTAGTCTATAGTCTAGTCTATAGTCCAGTCTATAGTCTAGTCTATAGTCTAGTCTATACTCTAGTCTATTGTCTAGTCTATAGTCTAGTCTATAGTCCAGTCTATAGTCTAGTCTATAGTCTAGTCTATAGTCTAGTCTATAGTCTAGTCTATAGTCTAGTCTGTATTCTAGTCTATAGTCTAGTCTATAGTCTAGTCTATAGTCAACTCTATAGTCTAGTCTATAGTCTAGTCTATAGTCTAATCTATAGTCTAGTCTATAGTCTAGTCTATAGTCTAGTCTATAGTCTGGTCTATAGTCTAGTCTATAGTTTAGTTTATAGTCTAGTCTATAGTTTAGTCTATAATCTAGTCTTTAGTATAGTCTATTCTATTGTTTAGTCTAAATCTAGCTTATAGTTAATATATAATCTAGTCAATAGACTAGTTTGTAGTCTAATCTACAGTTTAGTCTAGTGTCTAGTCTAATATATAGTCTATAGCGTGTCTATTCAATAGTCTAGTCTGTAGTCAGTTCTACTGTTTAGCCTAGTCTAGTGTTAGTCTAATCTATAGTCTATAGCGTAGGGGTAACGCTTAATTTCCTTTATCAAACGAAAACAAAATTAAGAATTTCTAGAAAAAAAATCTTTAGAAAAACAGTTTTCTTTAGAAATGTGTTAACATAAGAAACACTTTCCTTCAGAAAACTAAAAATAAACTGTTGCTTTAAGATCCTTTTTCAAAAATTATTCTCAAACATGTCTGTAATACAAAACGTGCTGCTGCTAATGCCTCGTAAGCCCGACAATACATATTCTTTTAGTAGTTTTAAACTATGTATAAAATTAGTTTCATTGTTTTAAAAATTTATTATGCTCACGTGCCATTTATTGAGCAACCCCGTAGTAAGTAGTATTAAGGTTTTAATTAAAATCCCAACAGATGTTAAAATAAGTGTGTGTGTGTTGTTGCAAGAGCTATTCTTAGTTTTAGAGGCGGGGGTGGTGGCGGCTGTTTTAAAATTAATATATTGTTAAGATTACAAAACAAAACTTACCTTTTTATGTCTAGGCTGTTAGTTGTTGGTTTTTAATTATTATTAATTAAAATTTACATATTTTTTATAATTTTTTGTAAACGAAACGCTAGATTTAAGGTCATTGTTAAGAAAAAATTGTTTTTTTATTTTGAAGAAAACTAGAGTTAAATAAACAAGAAATACTTCCTTGCTATAGATTTTCAATTTATTAAAGATTTGGCACTTTTTATTGAAATTTTAAGTTTTATTTACGTTTTAGCTTAAGAGCATTTACCGAAAGAAATCCGCAAAAAAAATTGCGCATAAATTTAAAAACGAAGAAAAAAACTATAGTTTTAGTTTAGCTGCGACTTGTAGTTTAGCGCAGCTTACCTGGCCATCAGTCTGTAGGCAACAAGAGACACTCTACTGGCCTCACCCGTTTTCATAATAGTCGTAGTACACTTTTCTGTGTTTTTGTTTTATTTCTTTATTGTGTATTTTTTTTTTCTTTTTCAGCTATAATATACAAAAAAAAAATTGTAAAAATTTTCTTTTATTTAACATATGGTCAGCGTTTTTGTTGTAATTATTGCTAATTTGTATAATTTATTATTATTGCCGCTCATACAAAATGTAACACTTTCTTTTGTTTAATTTTTTTTTTAGCTTTTTGTTTAAATTATCACAAACAAAAAACTTATTTATTTAAAAAAAATCTTTAATTTTTTCACCGACCGGTTTGTGTTTGATTTTTTACATCTTTTTTCTTTCTACGCAGAATTTTCCTTCCACTTTCTTCTGGGTTGTCAATAAAAATATATTTTTGTTGCTTTTTTATTATTATTATTTATCCTTCTCCTGGTTTTCTCTTTAAATTGTATATTTTTTTCCAACACTTTTTTCATATTTTCTTGTAGTACATCCCTCCCCCTTGTGTATATGTTATATGGTATAGTAACACTTGTCAATTGATTTCATGGTTAAACTTGTTTTTTTCGTTTTGTTGTTTGTTTATATTTTTGCATATTTTAATTTATTATTATTTTATCAACGTTTTTGTTTATATTTATTTTATTAGCTTTCTTTCTAGGTGAAATTTGTGTGTCTATGCAATTGTTGTTTGTTTTATTAACACCGAAAATTTTTTCTTTCCACTGATTTTCATTGCGTCTTTGCTTTTGATTACTGCTTGTTTGTTTCTTCTTTTTCTTCATCGCAACGACGAAGAGACCTGCGCTGACAAATATTTACAACGTCGGCGGCTGACACTACAATTTTCGACGTCGTCAAAGTGTTACTGTTGTCGGCAATATTATAGAAAATTCAATATTATAGAAAATTCAATATTATAGAAAATTCAATATTATAGAAAATTCAATATTATAGAAAATTCAATATTATAGAAAATTCAATATTATAGAAAATTCAATATTATAGAAAATTCGAAAAGTATTAGTAAAAGAAAAAGAAAGTACCAGAAAGTATCCTTTATAAATGATCGTTAAATTAGGATATTCAATATTTTAGAAAACTCAAAAGGCTTAGGTCGGTTATAGTGACATTTTTCAAATCAAATCGAAAATTTCACCACTCATAGAGAGTTCGATTGTGAGTGAAATGACGTAAAAATTTGTTGTCGGCCACGCCTACTTTATAGGTAAGTATATAAATTAAATTGTTTAAAAGCCAAGCTATTGAGCTTTTTATTAAGGTATAATATGTCTTTGTAAGTATTATAGTTCCAGAGATACTAATAATTAAATTATGATTTTGCTATTAAAAAGACGTATGTATACTAATCTTTATTAAGCGAAGCCGGTGTTGGACATATCATAGAGTAGAAAATCCTTGCTATTTAGGAAATCTTTATTAAGCGAAGCCGGTGTTGGACATACCATATCATGTTATATATCATTGGATATATAAATGATATACAAATTTTTATTGTACACAAAACAGTTTTCGAGATATAGTCAAAAATGTATTAAACTTGGAGCCCCGCCCACTCGAAAGTACGCTCTATATTGTTTTTTTTTTTTTTTTTGAGAAATGTCACTAAAATCGACTTGTTCCACTCAAAAAGTACCAGTTGAAGTACGAAAAGGTACCAAAAGAGCTATTTTATTTAATTTCATGTTCCTAAGTTCCCCTAGGAACCTAATTGGGGTTCTCAAACCGAAAAATATTCAGCGTCGGTGTCTTTTAAATTCCTTCGGCGGCTAGGCTTTGTAGACTTTAAGCCGAATCGTCTCACTTCTCTGATGATGTGTTGTACATAAGGTATTGCCAGATGATATAAACAACAAACAAAACTTGGCAGCACTTTTCATGAATAAAAGAAAACAGCACTTGGCACCTATTTTGATTTAAAAATAACGTTAGAATTTAAATTTTCAAAATTATAATTTTTTTAATTAGGGAATAATTTAGCTTGTAAAACATAAGAAAAGATTTAAAAAAGTAGCTATTTAATTATAATATGATTGACTATATAAATTTAATGCATAATTATTATAGAAAGAAAATTTTCTGTAGAAAACAGTTGAACTTTTCTTCAGCGAACTATTAAAACAACTAACTTTTTGTATAAATCTTACTGTTCGTTTATAGATTTTGGTGCATATTATTTGTATATATTTTTAAATATTTTATAAGTTTAAAAATTTATTTGTAATAATAGATTTCTTTCTTTTCAATTACCTTTTACACTTTCTCATCAGATTCTTGGGATTTTTTCTCTACACCAACACCAGCGCTTTCACCTCTATCCAAACTTCCCTCAAAATCCCAATCGTACCATCATGTCTGCGTGTAAGTTGACTGAAAACCATCAATTAAATCTGATGCCTGGCCGCCAAAATCAAAACTTTCCAATAAAGGATCACATGTCTGTGTATGCTGGGTATGATAAAGACTGCCAAAGGATACTGGAGGAGTACTAGTGCCAGCATCGTTGCAAGAATTTAGCAGACATTGGGTAAAACTAGTTTGTGTTTCGGTGGAGACAAGCAATTCATCATGTATACAGGGATTGGTGGAGGTAGCTGTCGAGGTAAATTGTACATTGGATGTTTCATTGTGTGCGTCTGGAGAAGGCCAATTTGTTTGGGTTTGTATGTCAGCCAGGCCTAATTCTGTTAGAAAATCATCACAAGTTTGCGTATACATATGAGAGGATTGAGCTAACATTTGATCCAAATAATTGTGGTTTTCAGTCGATGATGATGAGGAAGACAATAAGGGTTCTGTTTGGGTTTCTATGTCTCTCAGTAAAGAATGTATTTCATCTAGAGCATTGGAAATATCTTGCTGGCTATTTGTTTCCGTTATAAGTGGATAATCGGTTTGTACACTAGTGGCACATAACAGTTTGGGACAGAAATCAACTGGAAGGAAAGAATTACAGTTTAATAAAGTTATACTTTTTACATGACCATCTCTTACCTTGTATTTCTTTAGCCACTTGCTGTTTGGTTAATAATGTCGGCAGATCCTCTTTGTTCGCCTTCTTCAATGGTTTTAAAGCCATTTTACCTTGATTTTTCTTTTGTGCCATTATTTCCTTAACATTATGGCCTTTACGCTTGCCATGGGTTAGCAAAGCTTCCATGGAGTCATAAGACCAATGACAATCATTACATATAAACTTTTTACCACATTGATCCTTTTGATGTTTCTTCAGTTGTGTTTCTGTGGCAAAAGACTTCTTGCATTCCTCGCAAATGTAATCCTTACTCAAATGTACTTTTTGATAATGTTGCCGTAAATATTTAAAATTCTTAAAATGTTTACTTTGTGTGGTGACATAATTATAAATACATTTCTCTTCTGGACAATAAAATAGTCGGGTGTAATCCGATTTCTCAGCTGGAGCTAAACGATGATGTTTTTCCAAATGCATTTCATAATTGGCTTGATTGGTAAAGATGCTGGAGCAGTTGGGTTGCGAACACTTTATTTGATGAAAGGGTTTTAGTTGCTCCTTCGTTGGGGTATAATGTTCTATATTATTTTGCACAAAATTCATAATTTTTATGTATTTGCGAAGAAATTGATGAAATCAATGTCCGACACAATTGTTTTTTTTTCCTGCAAACGGAATGTTTGACACATCAGCTGACTTTGTTTATATTAACGTGCTGCCAAGTCTGAAAATATTTTATATTATAGTTAAATAGTTGCCAGATGTTAAAAACTATAGTGTTATCATACATTTTTTTATAATTTGAAAATGTTTGTTTTCTTTAACATATTATTGTTATTTATCAATGAATTTATTATTTATATTTTAATTTTATTACGTTTTTTAAAACTTTATAGAAAATATTTGTTTATAATATAGTGTTAAAAATATGGCATCTTTATTGTTGTATAAACCAGGAAAACAACTCTCAGAGAAAATGTCAACAACAACAAAAAGTGTCAAAACATTTTCATTGTCACAGAAGAAAAACTTGAAAATATAAAGAAATTCTGCAGTTTTTATGATAAAAATAAGTTAATTTTTAATAAAATAATTATCAAATAATACAAAAACCTTTGGAATATTTAGCTACTCTCACTGTTTAGAGAAAATAAACAAAATTATTATAAAGTATTCCGAAAAACCTAGAAAAAGAGGAAGAACTTTAAGACCTCGTAACTGGGATAGAAAAAAGAAACAGACACAACAAGAAAAAGAAAATAAGTTTTTAGCAAACAAAAGCAAAATTTTGGCTTATAAAACCATAATACGTCTTTGCAATAAATTGTTAACAACAAATATGGCCCATGAAAATGATCAACAACAACAACAGAATACAAAAAACCAGGAGGAGGAGGCGGAAAAGCCACTGGACGATAGTTTCAAAACAAACAACAAAAATGAAAGTTGTGACGTCTCCAGGGCCGGTAAAGAAACATTAGATGATAGCTTGGTAATGCCGACAGCTAGTAAAGGAAAATTAAATGATTTAGTGGCGGATTTGTGTATAAATGGCCACAGGGCGTCACAGCCTACAGCCAGCCAAACAGCTTTTGGCGATTACACCAATATACGAGCTACTTTGGGTCCAGTGGCAGTAAATGATAACAATTTTACTACAGCAGCGTTAGACGCCAATAATTTAGGGGTTTGCAGTAATGCGGCTCCCACACATAACGTCCAGCCACAGCCACCTACACAAAATTCCTCGTTTTCGTTTAAACACTTTCTCAGCAGCAATAGTGTGCCTACAGCACCTTCTACTACCGTCACCTCTTTGGACCCACCTGCCAATAGTACGTCCACTACATCTTCTGCGTCAAATGCTACCACTTCAACGCGTTCTCTGCAAACTTCGACAGGAGCTAGGCCAAAAGTTCCACAATCGAATTCGGTAACCTCCACCTCCATATCATCGCTAACTGTGGGCGGTTTAAACGATTCTCAAACGTCGGCTACAAAAATGAAAAGATCTCCACGCTTTTCCTCGTTTGACTCGCAGGCGAGTTTGGCAGAGTATGCTGGCTCCTCAACAACAGCAGATTTGCCAGCGGCTGAAGCATCTGCCGGCAGCTCGACAGATTTTCAACTTTATCCCGATGAAAGAGAACGAGACCGTTTTCAAGGTGGTGATTATTGAAATTTATATTTTTTACTTATCTAACTTAACAATTTAATTCTAGAATGGCAACTTCCCTCAAATGCTCCCACAATGACTACAAATTCCACAGACTACGATCGCGGCAGCTCGTATGTGCCCCGTTCGTATTCCAACTACGATATGCCACGACCTCAAACCTCGCCTCGTCGACGTGTGGGTATAGGTGGTGCCACCACCAAAGACACCAGACCCACACGTTTAGCTTTACATACAAATCAAAATCCTACAACGGCTGCCAAATTGAAATTAGACTTGCCTTTAACTTCCAATTCCACAGGCGCAAATGGTGCAGGAGCGGCTGCGGGCTCTAGTAGGAAACCGACTCACTGTTCTAGGCCAACAGATTTCCACACTAGCAATCCTATGCCTGCGGGTTCGGCAGCTGCTGCTGCTCTGCCAGATTTTGTACAAGATCATTGGATGGATTCTTGGTATGCCAATGATATGCATGTTAATTCGCCTCCCTCTTCGCCCACTAATAATTTTATGGAAGATTTGTCGGGGGCTGCGGGTGGTAGTGCAGCCATTCATAACCACAACTCCCATAACCGTGCATTACATCTCGATAGTGCGCCCATACCAGGACCTGCCGATAGAGGTGACTTCAATATGGGACTACCCGAACCCTCCAACTCATCGGTGGGTTCTAAAATGTTGCCCGATTTTCTATCCGATGGCCCCATCATACATTCGTCACAGCGTTTAGCCGATGTGGCGGCTGGTCTACCCTCCAATTCCATAGGTTCTCCGGAAGAATCTTCCATTAATAATCAGCTATCGCGTTTGCGTTCAGACAATGAACGTTTGCAACGCGAACTAAATGAATCCATATTAGCCCTCAATGAACAGACCTTAAGAGCCAACAATTTGGAACGCCAATTAATGGAGCAGCAAAGACAACATCAAACCGAAACAGAGGAGACACTGGACAGCAATAAAAAGCGTTCCACAGCGGCTCAAACTCACATGGCTAAACTTAAACAACAAGTGCAACAGCTAACGGCCGAGGTGGAAATGCTAAGGCGGGAAAAGGAATTGATGCGTGAAGAAGGCGCCGTAGGTGGTTGTAGTATACAGAGCTGTGATCGTTCTTATGCAGCGGCTGCTGTCTCGAGTACAACACGTAACTCGTCAACAGCAGCTGTGGCAGGAACAGCAATTGGTAGTGGAAGTAGTGGTGGTGGTGTTGGCAATGTAACAGGCAGTTCAGTGGCTGCTGGCGCTGCTTTAGGCATTAGACCGTCCAGACAACATCAGTTATCAAGAGATTTGCGTAGGGCAGCATCGAATGCAGAACAGAATCTAAAGTGAGTAAATGAAATGTTTTAAATAAAAAAACCTACTTTGACAAATAGTAGTAGAAAAGTACTTTTTAAAATCCCTTGAATTTTAAATTTCAAGCCTTATTTTGATAATAGAGCTAAAAATTATTTTTGTAGAAAAGTACTTTTTTCAAATTTTATTAAAAAAGTACTTTTTTAATAGTAGTAAAATTTTAGAAAATTAATGTTTAATTTTCTAAAATTAAAAAAAATTTATTTTATGCTATATTTTTTTAATTGAATCAAAAATTTATATTTTTAACAAAAAATAACATTTTTAAAAATAGTAGTAGAAAAGTACTTCTTTAAAATTTTATGAAAATGTGTGAAATATTAAATTTTAGGCCGTATGTTAACATTTGAGTTAAACAATTTAATATTTTAAGGAAAAATTTAAACTTTTGAAATAGTAGTAGAAAAGTACTTTTTTAGTTCCATAAAATATATCATAAAATTTAACATTTTGAGCTCTATTTCGATAATGGAGCTAAAAAGTACATTTTTTTACGAAAAATAAAAATTTTTAAAAATAGTAGTAGAAAAGTATTTTTTTCAAATTTTATGAAAATGTGTGAAATATTAAATTTTAGGCCATATGTTAACATTTGAGTTAAAAAATTAAATATTTTAAGGAAAAAATTAAAGTTTTAAATTAGTAGTAGAAAAGTACTTTTATAATTCTATAAAATATCCCATAAAATTTAACATTTTAATACAATTTTTTACGAAAAATAATTTTTTTTTAAATAGTAGTAGAAAAGTACTTTTTTCAAATTTTATAAAAAATTTTAGTTAAAAAATTTAATATTTTAAGGAAAAATTTAAACTTTTGAAATAGTAGTAGAAAAGTACTTTTTTTATACCATAAAATATATCATAAAATTTAACATTTTAAGCTCTATTTCGATAATGGAGCTGAGCTAAAAAATACAATTTTTTACGAAAAATAAAAATTTTTAAAAATAGTAGTAGAAAAGTATTTTTTTCAAATTTTATGAAAATGTATGAAATATTAAATTTTAGGCCGTATGTTAACATTTGAGTTAAAAAATTTACTTTTATAATTCTTATAAAATATCCCATAAAATTTAACATTTTAAGCTCTATTTCGATAATGGAGGTAAAAAATACAATTTTTTACAAAAATTAAAAGTTTTTAAAAATAATAATAGAAAAGTACTTTTTTAAAATTTTATGAAAATGTGTGAAATATTAAATTTTAGGCCGTATGTTAACATTTGAGTTAAAAATTTAATATTTTAAGGAAAAATTTAAAGTTTTAAAATAGTAGTAGAAAAGTACTTTTTTAATTCCCTAAAATATATCATAAAATTTATCATTTTAAGCTCTAATTCGATAATGGAGCTAAAAAATAATTTTTTTTACGAAAAATAAAAATTTTTAAAAATAGTAGTAGAAAAGTACTTTTTTCAAATTTTATGAAAGTGTGTGAAATATTAAATTTTAGGCCATACATATGTTAACAATGAGTTAAAAAATTAAATATTTTAAGGAAAAATTTAAAGTTTTAAATTAGTAGTAGAAAAGTACTTTTATAATTCTATAAAACATCCCATAAAATTTAACATTATAAGCTCTATTTCGATAATGGAGCTAAAAAATACAATTTTTTACGAAAAATAAAAATTTTTAAAAATAGTAGTAGAAAAGTACTTTTTTCAAATTTTATGAAAATGTGTAGAATATTAAATTTTAGGCCATATGTTAACATTTGAGTTAAAAAATTAAATATTTTAAGGAAAAAATTAAAGTTTTAAATTAGTAGTAGAAAAGTACTTTTATAATTCTATAAAATATCCCATAAAATTTAACATTTTAAGCTCTATTTCGATAATGGAGCTAAAAAATACAATTTTTTAAGAAAAATAAAAATTTTTTAAAATAGTAGTAGAAAAGTACTTTTTTAAAATTTTATGAAAATTGTATGAAATATTAAATTTTAAGCCAGTTTTTGACATTTGAGTAAAAAAATAAAATATTTTAAGGAAACATTTAAAGTTTTAAAATAGTAGTAGAAAAGTATGTATATACTTTTATAATTCTATAAAATATCCCATAAAATTTAACATTTTAAGCTCTATGTCGATAATGGAGCTAAAAAATAACAGTTTTTAAAAAAATTTAAAAATTCAAAGTTATAAAATAGTAGTAGAAAAGTACTTTTTTAATTGTATAAAATATCACATGAAATTTAAAATTTTAAGTCCTATTTCGATAATGGAGCTAAAAAAATAAAATTTTTACTAAAAATAACAATTTTTAAAAATAGTAGTAGAAAAGTACTTTTTTAAATTTTATTAATATTGTATGAAATATTCAATTTTAAGCCAGTTTTTGACATTTGAGTTAAAAAATAAAATATTTCAAGGAAAAATTTAAAGTTTTAAATTAGTAGTAGAAAAGTACTTTTATAATTCTATAAAATATCCCATGAAATTTAACATTATAAGCTCTATTTCGATAATGGAGCTAAAAAATACAATTTTTTTACAAAAAATAACAGTTTTTAAAAATAGTAGTAGAAAAGTACTTTTTTCAAATTTTATAAAAATTGTATGAAATATTAAATTTCAAGCCACTTTTTGACATGTGAGTTACAAATAAAATATTTTAGGGAAAATTTTAAAATAGTAGTAGAAAAGTACTTTTTGAATTGTATAAAATATCACATAAAATTTAAAATTTTAAGCCCTATTTCGATAATAGAGCTAAAAAATAATATTTTTTACAAGAAATAACAGTTTTTAAAAATAGTAGTAGAAAAGTACTTTTTTTAATATTATAAAATTGTATGAAATATTCAATTTTAGGCTATTTGTTGACAATTGAGCAAACTAGAAGAGGTTTTGAAAAAAAATCTATTTTTAAAAATAGTAGTAGAAAAGTACTTTTTTAATTTTAGTAAAATTTCATGAAATTAACATTTGTATGGCTTATTAGGATAATTAAAACAAAAAATATATATTTTTAAGTAAAAAATTAAAAAAATTTTAAAATAGTAGTAGAAAAGTACTTTTTTAAGAAATGTTCATTCTTTTCTTTTAGGCAACTTTTGGCTGGTGTTGAAAATTTACGTCAAATGGCGGCAAATTTGGAAAAATCTGAAACTCATGTAGACTATGATGCCAGTCCGGATTTGTTTTCAGATTTTCTAGATGAATGTGATGATTATGATGAATATCCCGGCGGTGGACCGGCTTTGTAAATTTTGTTTCTTGTTATTTTACTTAAGTTAAATTTAAAAAACAAATAAACAGAGAAGTGAAAACAAATAGAACAGCAAAATACATTATAAAAAATGCTATAAAAAACTATTAAACTTTAAAGTAAAACAAAAAAACATAAACTATTACACTATTTCAAACAAATTAATTAAAAATTAAATTAAATATCTTAAAAAAAAACTATAAACATATATTTAAAAAATATCATGTTCCCTAAAGAGAGAAGCAAAAAAAGAAAAACAAATTATTTGTTAGTAAACATTATTTAAAAGTTCTATTGAGTTTGTCTTTAATTATTTATATAACTTAACAAAAAAAAAAAAAAAAAAAAAAAAAAAGAAAGTCCTTTTTAAAGGCAATCCAATAATTTGTTTATTTAATTATTTATTTTTGTTTTGGTTCCTCTGCTATGTTGTGTTAAATGTATGTAAGTGTATGTGGCATTAGAAAAGAAATTTATAATTTTATGGCAAAAATATATATAAAAAATAATAAAATAAATTAATAAATGAATAAATAAATATATAAAATATAAATAATTAAACTTTAATTTTTTAAGCAATAATATACAAAACAACCAACAACAACTCAGCACTTAAAAATAAACAAAATTAATTAATTAAAACAAAAGAAAGGAAAGCAAACAAAACAACCAGCCAACCAAATTTTATTTAAATATCAGCATTTTTTTATAAAAAAAGGAATTGTAAAGAAAAAAGTTTTAAATTTTTTTGAAGACTTTTTAAGTTGGGCTGTTATATTTTTAATACAAATTAAAAAACATAATAATCAAAGCTTTGCAACTAAGAAATAAACATAATTTGTTACAAAACAATAAAAATATAATTAAAAAAAAAAACAAAAACTCACCACTAAATATTATTACAAATAAACAAAAATTACAACACCAAGTTATTAATTATTAAAACAGCATAATGTTAAACATTAAAAACTTAAATTTTTATTAAATAAATTCTAAGAGGCGAGGCAAAAACAACAAACAAATCAAATACCTGCAGAACAAAATCACTGTCTTTCTAGACAGCAACTTTTTCTATAGAAAGTGATCACGGTTTTATAGACAGCAAAATTCTTCTATAGAAAAAGATTACTCTCAGTTCAGTTTTAGTTCAGTTCCAGTTCAGTTCTAGTTCAGTTCTAATTCAGTTCTAGTTCAGTTCTAGTTCAGTTCTAGTTCAGTTCTAGTTCAGTTCTAGTTCAGTTCTAGTTCGGTTCTAGTTCGGTTCTAGTTCAGTTCTAGTTCAGTTCTAGTTCAGTTCTAGTTCAGTTCTAGTTCAGTTCTAGTTCAGTTCTAGTTCAGTTCTAGTTCAGTTCTAGTTCAGTTCTAGTTCAGTTCTAGTTCAGTTCTAGTTCAGTTCTAGTTCAGTTCTAGTTCAGTTCTAGTTCAGTTCTAGTTCAGTTCTAGTTCAGTTCTAGTTCAGTTCTAGTTCAGTTCTAGTTCAGTTCTAGTTCAGTTCTAGTTCAGTTCTAGTTCAGTTCTAGTTCACTTCTAGTTCAGTTCTAGTTCAGTTCTAGTTCAGTTCTAGTTCAGTTCCAGTTCAGTTCCAGTTCAGTTCAGTTCTAGTTCAGTTCTAACTCAGTTCTAGTTCAGTTCTAGTTCTAGTTCAGTTCTAGTTCAGTTCTAGTTCAGTTCTAGTTCAGTTCTAGTTCAGTTTTAGTTCAGTTCTAGTTCAGTTGTAGTTCAGTTCTAGTTCAGTTCTAGTTCAGTTCTAGTTCAGTTCTAGTTCAGTTCTAGTTCAGTTCTAGTTCAGTTCTAGTTCAGTTATAGTTCGGTTCTAGTTCGGTTCTAGTTCAGTTCTAGTTCAGTTCTAGTTCAGTTCTAGTTCAGTTCTAGTTCAGTTCTAGTTCAGTTCTAGTTCAGTTCTAGTTGAGTTCTAGTTGAGTTCTAGTTCAGTTCTAGTTCAGTTCTAGTTCAGTTCTAGTTCAGTTCTAGTTCAGTTCTAGTTCAGTTCTAGTTCAGTTCTAGTTCAGTTCTAGTTCAGTTCTAGTTCAGTTCTAGTTCAGTTCTAGTTCAGTTCTAGTTCAGTTCTAGTTCAGTTCTAGTTCAGTTCTAGTTCAGTTCTAGTTCAGTTCTAGTTCAGTTCTAGTTCAGTTCTAGTTCAGTTCTAGTTCAGTTCTAGTTCAGTTCTAGTTCAGTTCTAGTTCAGTTCTAGTTCAGTTCTAGTTCAGTTCTAGTTCAGTTCTAGTTCTAGTTCAGTTCTAGTTCTAGTAGTTCAGTTCAGTTCTAGTTCAGTTCTTGTTCAGTTCTTGTCCTAGTTCAGTTCTTGTTCTAGTTCAGTTCTTGTCCTAGTTCAGTTTTTGTTCTAGTTCAGTTCTAGTTCACTTCTAGTTCAGTTCTAGTTCAGTTCTAGTTCAGTTCTAGTTCAGTTCTAGTTCAGTTCTAATTCAGTTCTAGTTCAGTTCTAGTTCAGTTCTAGTTCAGATCTAGTTCAGTTCTAGTTCAGTTCTAGTTCAGTTCTAGTTCAGATCTAGTTCAGTTCTAGTTCAGTTCTAGTTCAGTTCTAGTTCAGTTCTAGTTCAGTTCTAGTTCAGTTCTAGTTCAGTTCTAGTTCAGTTCTAGTTCAGTTCTAGTTCAGTTCTAGTTCAGTTCTAGTTCAGTTCTAGTTCAGTTCTAGTTCAGTTCTAGTTCAGTTCTAGTTCAGTTCTAGTTCAGCTCTAGTTCAGTTCTAGTTCAGTTCTAGTTCAGTTCTAGTTCAGTTCTAGTTCAGTTTAGTTCAGTTCTAGTTCAGTTCTAGTTCAGTTCTAGTTCAGTTCTAGTTCAGTTCTAGTTCAGTTCTAGTTCAGTTCTTGTTCAGTTCTTGTTCTAGTTCAGTTCTAGTTCAGTTTAGTTCGGTTCTAGTTCAGTTCTAGTTCAGTTCTAATTCTGTTCTAGTTTAGTTGTAGTTCAATTCAGGTTCTGATCTAGTTAAGTCCTAGTAAAGTTCTACTGCAGTTCTATTTCAGTTCTAGCTCAGCTCTTTTTCAGTTCTAATTCAATCTTATAGATAGCACAGTTTTCTATAGAAATTCAATAGGAAAACTTGCTGTCTAGACAGTGTTCGCTGCCTATTTGGTGCCAAGTCTAAAGCCTAGTTGTAATTTAAAACTTTCTCCAATTATTCTTAAAAAAAGGTTTACAACATTATATACTTTTTCAACTAAAACTTAAATCTAGATAAAGTTTTCAGTTTTATAACTCTTTTTATAACTAACCAATTATACATAAAATAACTATACACAATTTAATCATTTTTATTATTTTGCTAAAAGAATTTTATTTTATATAAAAAAACAAATGAAACCACAAAAGAATATCAAATAAAATTTAATATAAAATGGGCTTTATTTTGTAGTTTGTCAATAAAAATAATAAAAAAAATATAAATTAAAAAACTAAAATATTAAAAAAATAATGCATTAAAAAATAAAAAGAGTTTTCTTTTATAGGAACAAAGCTAGAATGCTGTAATTCTAGATTAACTGGATTAACTGGATTAACACTTTAACTAATATTTTATAATTTTAAATTTTAAGAATAAGGCGTGTGATGATTCATATAATATCATCCCTAAGAGATCGATACAACTTCATAGTGTTGCAGTTTCTCAACCATGATTATATTTATTTTTAAATAGGGCATTAATCATGATCATTTGCTACTACCTAGTAATCCCACTTAGCTTACTTCTTATTCAAATTGAAGTTTCAGGAATGTAAATAAATTTTACTAACGAGTTTTTTTTATTTACGCATAGTATTCATAGTAGTATTTCTTTGATCTAAAAATAGATATTTACAAGTTTGCTGTAGGCCAACCTACACTTATCTTCATGTTCTTTTAAGGCTAAGATTCTCAAACAACTAAATTACACAATGCATTGTTATGTACATAACCAAATGCAAAATCTTATCAAAAATATACTGAGAAATATGAACTTATATAGTAAGTGCAAAGAATAGGTAAGATCGCCCTAGAGATCACCTTTAAAACCCGTCTAGACTAGACTATAGACTCGACTATAGACTAGACTATAGACTAGACTATAGATTAGACTATAGACTAGACTATAGACTAGACTAGACTATAGGCTAGACTATAGACTAGACTATAGACTAGACTATAGACTAGACTACAGGCTAGACTATAGACTAGACTATAGACTAGACTACAGACTAGACTATAGACTAGACTATAGATTATACTATATACTAGACTATAGACTAGACTATAGACTAGTCTATAGACTAGACTAGACTATAGACTAGACTATAGACTAGACTATAGACTACACTATAGACTACACTATAGACTAGACTATAGACTAGACTATACCTATACTAGCTATTCCTAGACTAGACTATAGATTAGACTATTTACTAGACTGTAGACCATAGATTAGAATATAGACTAGACTATAGACTAGTCTATAGACTAGACTACAGACTAGACTATAGACTAGACTAGACTATAGACTAGACTATAGACTACACTATAGACTAGACTATAGACTATACCTATACTAGCTATTCCTAGACTAGACTATAGCCTATAGATTAGACTATTTACTAGACTGTAGACCATAGATTAGAATATAGACTAGACTATAGACTAGACTATAGGCTAGACTATAGACTAGACTATAGACTAGACTATAGACTAGACTATAGACTAGACTATAGACTAGACTATAGACTAGACTATAGACTAGACTATAGACTAGACTAGACTAGACTATAGACTACTACTAGACTAGACTATATACTAGACTATATACTAGACTATAGACTAGACTATAGACTAGACTATAGACTAGACTAGACTATAGACTAGACTATAGACTAGACTATAGACTAGACTATAGACTAGACTATAGACTAGACTATAGACTAGACTATAGACTAGACTATAGACTAGACTATAGGCTAGACTATAGACTAGACTATAGACTAGATTATAGACTAGATTATAGACTAGACTATAGACTAGACTATAGACTAGACTATAGACTAGACTATAGACTAGACTATAGACTAGACTATAGACTAGACTTGACTAGACTATAGACTAGACTATAGACTAGACTATAGACTAGACTATAGACTAGACTATAGACTAGACTATAGACTAGACTATAGACTAGACTATAGACTAGACTATAGACTACACTATAGACTAGACTATAGACTAGACTATAGACTATACCTATACTAGCTATTCCTAGACTAGACTATAGACTATAGATTAGACTATTTACTAAACTGTAGACCATAGATTAGAATATAGACTAGACTATAGACTAGACTATA